ATTTTAATTTGGTTTTGATCATTATAATTACAAATTCCGAATTAAATGTATATATTATATTCAATATATGTATGGCATGTTTGTCTATTACTTATAAGGATAGCAGATGACTGGATAACGGATTGTATTAACTTATTTGACTAATAAATTTTGTATTAGTTGTTTGTAAATAATTGACTAGTAAATAGTGGATTATATAGTTATTTTAAAAATTTTACGATGGCATGTTATACTACAAAATATAAATATCTCTTTTCAAAACGCTCATGTATTAAGCTTTTTCAGAATGAGCGTTTTAAATAAAAAAAGCTAACCAAATATAATCTTTACTAAACAAATTAATTATAGAAAGTACATGGATTTGACGATTCAAACATCCAAATAAGGTTCAATTTGCTAATTTTATATAAATCATCTAACATACAAACATGGTCATATATATGTATATTATTTTTAGTGAAAATAATATAAATATTAAATCAAAATTATCAAAATCAAATATAGTTGTTTATATTATAAATTACAACATATTTCAATTAATTGACCGAATTAGAGGGTTGTTTCAGTTCAGTTTTAGGTTCGATTGATTATATTTCATTAAATAACAATTCCAGTTAGTTCGTCTTTATGAATTCGATTAATCCATTAATGGATACCCTAAATGTATTTCTTTCTTACATATGTGTGTGTGTGTGTTTTCCTCTTTTTCTAAAATATATTTGTCATCGGAATATTTAAACAGATTAATTATGTTAGTTAATCTATCTATATATATATAAAAAGAATTACTATTTACTAAAAATAGTAGCAAAAAAAGTCAATGAGCATTTAATGCATACTTTATTTGGAAACTTTTAAATATATGCATTAATTGTTTTAATATATACATATTTCCAAATCATATATGATCAAAAAGATTTTTTTCTTGAATAATTTTATTAACATATGCAATTTTTATTGATATTCATTATAATAAACTATAATTTGATTTTTCATAATTGGTGTTGATAATATTTTGGTCAACATAACTATGAAAACAAATTTTAAGTCTTAACCATAATATTAATTTTTTTTTTCAAAAATGTTGACTTTCATCCTAAAATACTTATAAACAATCGTAACATGTTAAATAATTCTCCCTCTAACTAATTAGCCGAAATCCAGTTGGTGAATAATATTTTTTGATAATATTTTTTAACCTTTATTTAATTATATAAACAAATAATTTCTTTAAACTAAAATAATTTACCATTTAAGAGATAATGATCACATCATTAAATAATTTATTAACGGCTAAATAATAAAATTAAAATATATTAACTATTTTTACAGTTTCAATATTTGATTTATTTGTATATTATTTGTCAACCATGATAATTTTATCATTTTTTATTTTTATTTGTTTCCATAATGAATTTATTGTAAAATATATATTTATATTGCATAGTATGTTAAATAAACTAATAAAACCTTAGGATGCAAATTAGAAAAATCTCTTGATTATATAAGGGTTTATTATTTGACAATTTGCTAAATCAAATTTTTTTAATTATTATGAGAAAAAAAATTTAAAAAACATGTGTGTGTATTTTATAAACATTTATACACATAATTTTATTTTAAACTTCATTACATAAACTAAGAAGAAGTAGACTACTTCTATAACTTTTATAAATAATAATAATGACATTATATGACAACAAATATTATAATAAAATATTAATTGAGTATTAAATGGTGAACAAGAATAATAATAATTTTTTTTATATCGATAAATAAATATATATTGTAAAATTAAATTTATATTAGTATAACGTGTAAGCAGAATGATATATTAATTAATATGTCAACGTTATGACTAAAATAAATATCACTGATTGAAAGAAGTTAAAAATTGATGATGCAACCCTATTATTTTTTGCCAAAACGTACAAGCCCTATAGAAATGACTCAATTAATATATGTGTCTCGTGCATCGCACGGACTATGCACTAGTTTTTGATAATGTAATATGTCAATAACATTAATGGAATGACATTGTTAAACGCATTAAGAAGTAAGAGGTACAAATTCTAAAAGTGGAAATTCATTTTTTTTTTTGACAGCGGAAATTCATTTTGGTATACAAATTCTAAAAGTGGAAATTCATTTTGGTATTTGAAGTTTACCTTTTCTTTTAAGTCATTGCCACTACCAATTTCAATTTAACCAATTTCGTTTGTATAAATTTTATCCTACAATCACATTTGACACTTTTGACTAGTTAATCGAAGTTTAATTGGAGATTTATCAATTGAAATACACTTCATATAAAATTAATCTTTTAAATAATTCAACGGTACATCTCAAATTTCAAAATGAACTACATGGTATTAAATGAAAGACTTAAATCGTACATCATTATCTCTTTCACATTTAAATGGAATGATTGATTAGCTGGACAAGTTATCCATGCAATCAACTCAATCATGCAAACATAACAAGCTCTTCATTTTGGGAATAAAATTCCATTTTATTAGTAATCACTCTAACTGGTTTTTTACCATTAAAAATCAAGACATACTAATTTCTACTCCACTGCTCATAGTTATAATTTATTTGATTTTATGTTTTAATATAAAAATACATTATAAATGGGGTCTATTTTCCAGGCTATTGACTCTAAGGAAAAGCCCTTTTATCTTTAAACAATGTTTTTGGACACATTTGATGTTTAATAATATTTAATTTCCCAAAGTTCATCATGAACTGGAAGTATTTAAGGGAAGCTTCCTTGTTACTGTATTGGGGGATCTGATTTAAATAAATGCTCAAATTAATAAATTAAGCCCATAAACCCATTTTCCCTCAATTTACAGCACATAATTAAACTGACCGACTTCTTTGCTTGTTAATTAGTTTATCTTATCATATCGTGTACTCTCTTTAAACATAAAATCAAGCACCATAAGGAAAAAACTTATGAAAATATATAAAGTTTTTAGCATAAATAAGTAGATGAGAACTTCAAAATAGAGGTACTTTTTATTGATGTCACACTAAAAAATTAATGATAACCATGCGTTTATTGTAAAAGAATAAAGTGCAAATGCTTAAATTGCACATTTTTATGACATGAAAATCCTTATCCTTATATTTGTTACTTGTATAGAGAACCATGAAAATCCAATCACCACCTATAAAACCTCACACTCCCAATTCATTCATCGTGTTATTTCAATTAATTAAAAAATAAAATAACAAAAGATTACCTTTAAAAACTAAACGGATGTTGAACCCTAAGAGCGAGTTAATAATTAACCCCATACTTTTTCATGAATTTATTCATAATCATTTAAAATTTGAGTCCATTTTTATGTGTTAGCTACTGAATTTAAACGTGACCCTAATCATTTGTGTCGCAAGTGCATATACTAAAAACATGGCAAACAATTTCTCTCTGTGTCAAATTTCAATCCTTGTCTTCGTTACTTGTATAGTGATGAAAAACCATTTCTACTAACCCATGGAAAGATACAAAATCACCAAACTACACAAAGTAATGACGTAACCATGTGAAAATGCAATCACCACATATAAAAATTAAAACCTCATCATGCTCCCAATTCAATTTCAACATGACATTTCAGTTAATTAAAAAATAAAATACCAAAAGATTACCGCAATTAAAAACTAAACGGATGTTGAACCCTACTCGGTGGTCGGGCGTAGCCATACATCGGAGGCTGGTTGTACCCAAAACCTTGCGGGTGGTACATGCTCATGTCATTCGGGTGGGACCCACCGAAGTCGAAAAACGGCAAGCCCCCAAAGAGAGAGTTGTGCCCCGACACCTTATCTACCATTGATCGAGATCTCGGGTGGATCTTGCAGAAGAAATCTCGACAAACCCTCTCGTCAACTTTGGGAGGCTCGTACGCCTCACATTTGTGAGGCTCGTTTTGTCTAGTTTCTTCTTCTCGACCGTTTGCTCTCTTTCTCTTTTCGTAGGGGTGGGGCCCACTGGGGTCCGTGAAGCAATCTCGTTTGTGGCGGCGATTGGTGCTGTTGTTGTTGTTGTTCGGTCGATGATTGTCGTTCGGAAGAAGTTGGATCGGAAAAAGGAGTTGGACCCGTTTTCCGAATCTGGCGACTTTGTTGAAGAGGGTCACGGGGTCCATCGGGCCCTCGACAAACACCAGGTTTTTCTCCGTGTTTATGGTGATTGAGTCCACCCCTAAAAGAAAAATATTAATTTCATCGATATTTTATAATATAAATATGTATTCTTATGCATTTTTTTTATAATAGATAGACTGGCAACAACCACATTTGTATAATTTTAAAGGGTTATATAATAAATAGATCCTACAACAAAAATGACTTTAGGTAGCAGCATTTATTGTAATACTTTGCAATTACTGGTTTATGTATCATATTATTGTAACACTTTTAGTATAAGTGTTAACAAAAATTAGCAAAAGTATCATATAAGTGTTACCAAAAACTACCAAAAGTATTACTTTTGTAGCACAAACAACTGTAGCACCAATATTGTATTACCTATTGTCTATAGTAACATTTTATAGTTTTTACGTAACATTTTATAGTTTTTACGTAACATTTCTTTGGTGCTACATAAAGTTATTTATGTTATAGTGAGAAAATAAACGTTTATTCAAAAAAATAAAAAATAAAAAATAACACGACAGCTTAATAGTTAGAGAATAACCTAATAGTTAAACACCTAACATATGGAATAACATGAATGGGTTGAACAAACCAATTAGTCAAAATCGTGTTCTTAGTAAATTGAACATATATTCATTTGCATACAATAGAATCTGGATTTTGTACCAAGAGTCTAATACCACAATATACCAACTCAATTGAATTTTTTCTAGTATGTAAATACGGGGCAACATATGAATATATGAACCGAATATATAAAATTACCAGGCATGTTGTCTAATTTTTCCTTCAATATCTTCGGACAATCATCACAGCAACTAATATTGATGGACAAAACCTTGGTCTGCCAAATTCAAGATTCAATACTAATAAAAGTTTTTTCAAACACCGATAAAAAAAAAAGGG